TGAGTGTGTGTGTGTGTGTGTGTGTGTGTGTGTGTGTGTGTGTGAGAGAGATAGTGAGTGTGTGTGTGTGTGAGTGAGAGATAGTGAGAGTGTGTGTGTGTGTCTGTGTGTGTGAGTGATAGTGAGAGAGTGTGTGTGTGTGTGTGTGTGTGTGTGAGAGTGAGAGATAGTGAGAGTGTGTGTGTCAGATTGATCTCTTCACTGTCAGCATCATCAGATCTCATTACTGTCTCTTTTCACACTGATAATGAGTCTCAGACACTGCCAAGATGGACAGACTGATGAGTCAGTGAAGGACAAATAGAACATTTGCTTGAGTTTGATATAGCACTGTTATTTTAGTGTATAATTTATTTATTCTTGAATGCTACTTGCCATTTCTTTTTAATTATTGGTAAAGCTTCTGACTGAAAATTGTTTCTACTCCAGTCCCCCCAGTGTAATTATGAATAATTTTTACTTTTGTAGATGCCATCAAAACTCCCGAGTGAGTTTTTCTCAGATTTGTAAGTAAAAACACACACAGCTTCATTCAACAGAACCTACAGACATGTGATCAGACACAGGGAGTCCACACACAGCTGCCATGACAACAACACACGTGTGTGTGTGAGAGAGAGAGTGTGTGTGTGTGTGTGTGTGTGTGTGTGAGTGAGAGATAGTGAGAGTGTGTGTGTCAGATTGATCTCTTCACTGTCAGCATCATCAGATCTCATTACTGTCTCTTTTCACACTGATAATGAGTCTCAGACACTGCCAAGATGGACAGACTGATGAGTCAGTGAAGGACAAATATAACATTTGCTTGAGTTTGATATAGCACTGTTATTTTAGTGTATAATTTATTTATTCTTGAATGCTACTTGCCATTTCTTTTTAATTATTGGTAAAGCTTCTGACTGAAAATTGTTTCTACTCCAGTCCCCCCAGTGTAATTATGAATAATTTTTACTTTTGTAGATGCCATCAAAACTCCCGAGTGAGTTTTTCTCAGATTTGTAAGTAAAAACACACACAGCTTCATTCAACAGAACCTACAGACATGTGATCAGACACAGGGAGTCCACACACAGCTGCCATGACAACAACACACGTGTGTGTGTGAGAGAGAGAGTGTGTGTGTGTGTGTGTGAGAGAGAAGAGTGTTGAAAACAGTTGTGCTGCACAATATTTTTCTGGAAATTGTGATACATTGTATATTTCAGGATTCACTGATGAATAGAAAGTTTAAAAGAACAGCATTTATTTGAAATAGAAATATTCTGTAACATTATAGAGAGAGAGTGTGTGTGTGTGTGTGTGTGTGAGAGAGAAGAGTGTTGAAAACAGTTGTGCTGCACAATATTTTTCTGGAAATTGTGATACATTGTATTTTTCAGGATTCACAGATGAATAGAAAGTTTAAAAGAACAGCATTTATTTGAAATAGAAATATTCTGTAACATTATAAATGTCTTTACTGTCACTTTTGATCAATTTAATGCGTCTTTGATGAATAAAAGTATTAATTTCTAAACTATTGAATAGTACTGTACCACAATTTACACAAAAATATTGTGCAGCACGACTGCTTTCAACATTGATAATAATCAGAAATGTTTCTCGAGCAGCAGATCAGCATATTATACTGATTTCTGAAGATCATGTGACACTGAAGACTGGAGGAATGATGCTGAAAATACAGCTGCGCATCACAGGAATACATTACAGTTTAACAAGTATTCACACAGAAAACAGCTGTTTTAAATTCTAAAAATATATCAGTACTTTTAATGTATTTTTATCAAATAAATGCAGCCTTGGTGAACAGAAGAGACTTTAAAAATATATATTAATTGTTCCTAATGTTTGATCAGTGTAAAAAACCACAAGTACTAACTTCGTCTCAAACGTTTCCTTAAATTCATTAGAAGAAATCAGACACAAGTTAACATTTGTCATACATTAAGAGTGAATAGATATATAACTAATGCGAATATAGATATGAACATTAGTTATATATCTATTCACTCTTAATAGATATATAACTAATGTGAATATAGATATGAACATTGCTCATCATATTCTCCATATTCAATAGAGTTCATGCAGACTTTAACAAATTTGAGCACAATTTAAGCTTTTTTTCTGACGAGAAATGTAAATATTTTTTATATTATTCAATTATATATTTTAAATTGCATTGATTACATTTAGTTTTATCTTGAAGAAATATATTAGATGTTAAAGACAGCTTTGGGCAAAGTTAGAAAACAAATGACCCATTCTTCAAAAAACCTGTCTTTGCCTCTTTCACAACGTTCTTTTTCAGCTGATGTCATGTTGCTCATTGTGACACAGAAGGTCATTTTTATCCAGGTTTTCACTAAAATAACTCAAATTTTATGCAAACACATTTTCCTGTCATCTCAATGTCTTTCTCTGGCAGTTTTTGTTATAATAAACAAAAGACACACGGCAGAGCTCCAAAAACACAGGCAGTAATTGGTTTTTAATTCTTCGGTACTACATTCATTCATTCATTGAACTCTAGTGTCGTACAGCAGATCAACATCGGCACCCTCTGTGTGTCTGGAGACAAACTGCATGCGTACATAAGGTCAGGGGTCAGAAATCATAATCATAACTCAAAATCATTTACATCAGTGTAACCAAATTAGTCATAATCTGTATTTCGCACTTCATTGGGCTGTGTGTGTGTGTGTGTGTGTGTGTGTGTGTGTGTGTGTGTGTGAGTTGTTCCCCTCGTCGTCGCTGTGCTGGCAGAGTTCCAAGACGAAAACCGCTGCTGAGCAAAAAGAACATAAAGGCTCGTCTCAGTTTTGCCAGAAAACATCTTGATGATCCCCAAGACTTTTGGGAAAACACTCTGTGGACTGACGAGACAAAAGTTGAACTTTTTGGAAGGTGTGTGTACCATTACGTCTGGTGTAAGAGTAGCACTGCATTTCAGAAAAAGAACATTATACCAACAGTAAAATATGGTGGTGGTAGTGTGATGGTCTGGGGCTGTTTTGCTGTCCTTGCAAAGTTGGAACTGCCCCACTTTATAGAAACAGCCTTTGTGCCACAGATGCATTGTAGGCTAACGTTACTCTGCAGGATTATGGAGTCCTCCATAAAGTGCGCTGAACACAATGGAATATTTGGTTTGAACTGTTCTGGAACAGTGTTGTAAATACAACTTAACCACCGACTTCTAGAGGGCCGGCGGGCTAGAGTGAGCAAAAATTGTTAAAAATAAATGTTAAAACAAAATTACATTTTTAAAAATATATATATATTTTTTTACTATTCTATAAATAAATATAAAAGTGATATTTAAATAAATAAGTTTTATATAAACACTAGCAATGGAAAAACTGAAAATAACAATGAAAAATTAGATTAAATAATTCTAAAAGTAGTTAAAACAAACAAAAATTGGTTTAAATAAATTATGAAACATGATTACAATAAACAGAAAAATAAATAAATTCAAATTAAAAAATGATTGCAATTAATTTTTTTTATTTAATTAATAATACAAATGACACTTAATTAAGAAAATTATTTGAGTCTAAACAGACCTAAACCAGCTCACAAAAAACCTAAAAAATATTGAGATTTTTTTGTCAGTATGTCATAGCCCTATGTCTTATATGAGCCTCTTGATTAAAAGAGGGCTGAAACTGAGGAGTGTTCATTCAGACACACACACACACACACACACACACACTCTCTCTCTACAGTAATTCAATCACAGAAACACATTTAGACACAGTGCAGCTCTTTGTCTCACTGACGTCTCAGAATGGTTGTTTGTATCATCTGTCGCTTCACTTCTGCAGTCTTCTTCTGCTCTCTTTCCAATCATTTCAGTTGCCCTGAAACTTTATTTACTAAAGCTGAATATCCTGCATTAATGTCTGGCTGTATGATTCATCAGAACTGCAGTGATGCTGTAGAAATGACTGTTCATGATGTCAGTGTGCGTTTAATATTTCACAGGTTCTTTTGTCACTCAGTGTCTCTTTATCAATCGATCAATCATCTGTTCTTTCACTCTGTGACGTTTCCTGGGAAAACTGATGACCTACTTTAACGCGCGCACACACACACACACACACACACTCGTGTCTGGCATTCCGTGTTCTCAGGGTTAATTCTGTTAGGAATAAAGAACAGATGAAAAGCTACAGAACAAATAACCGTCAGAGAGCAGGACAAACGAGTGTAAGAATAAACGAGTTGTGGCTGTTATCTGATTGGCTTGAGCAGACGGTGGGTGGAGTCCATGTATTTGTGGATTGTCAACACGTCTTGACGAAAGAAATGTTTCACAATTCGCAAATGCACAGAAAGCAATTCACAAATGCGTGCAGCTATCTACAAATGCACAGGACGCGATTCACAAATAAATGCCAGGCAAAGTTGTGGTTGTGACATAAATATATATTTGTGAATGTTTTTTATTTGCAAATCTCATTTTATTTATTTGTGAATTTAATTCATGTTTGTGAAACTTTAAGATTTATTTGTGGATCTCATTCTATTTATTTGTGGACCGTAATCTATTTATTTGGAATTAAGCAACAATTCTATCTCCATAAGTGTGTGTGTGAGAGAGTGTGTGTGCGTGTGTGTGTGTGTGTGTGTGTGTGTGTGTGTCACCTCTCGGGTCCACCTGTGCCAGGTATGTTAAGGTGCAGCTGGTGGGGCCAGTGCGTTGGATCAGGTATCCCGTCTGGATGGAAACGGCTCGCACCAGATCTTTCTTAGGAGGATATTTCTGAAACACACACAATCAATCAATCTATAAACACATCAAGATCAGACTTCAGGCATCACTACGGTTACGGGAACACTATGAGATCTCATTCAACATCCCATAATGATCAAAATGACACTCTGGCCTGTGTGTGTCTTTCTGTGTGTGTGTGTGTGTGTGTGGGGGTGGGTGTATGTGAGTGAGAGACAATGAGAAGAAAAGGACAGAGATGAGACACGTTTCTCTCTCTCAGTGATGACAGACAGATCAATGCAGTGCGGAGCTGCAGCAAACCAGTCTGATCATGTGACTACAGATTCCACAATTTTATGACACTCTCACACACACACTCATATGCACTCTCACACACTCGCTCTCGCATTCACTCTCTCACTCTCACACACACACACACACACACTCACACTCACAGTCGTTATAAAAAAACTGGTTGACTAGTAATTTCTTACTGTTAAATTCTGAAAGAACAGGGGTGTTAGTTATCAGACCACAAACCTAAGGTTTTAATAAGGTTATTACATGCGGTTAAATATTTAACCGGCCATACTGGCTTTTGGCTATTGAAAACATTAACTGTAACCATCTGAAATTAACGGAAGTAACTGCACAGTAAGCACATTCAATACAAACATAGATGGTACTGACATCAGCATTTAGCGTTTGCTTTTAAATAGTTTTTAAATTAAAATTTAAGTTGAAACTACATAAAACTGGCCTTAAATGAAAACATTCAAGTCAAGTCACCTTTATTTATATAGCGCTTTTAACAATACAGATTGTGTCAAAGCAGCTTTACAGTATTAAATAGGAAAATAGTGTGTCGATACAAAAGGACAATAGTAAACACTCAATTTTCAGTTAAAGGCCATTCATCATTAAATTCAGTGATGTCATCATCATCCAGCTCAGTTCAGTTTAAATAGTATCTGTGCAATCAAGTCGACGATATCGCTGGATATTAAGTGTCCCCAACTAAGCAATCCAGAGGAACCGAAGCTCCATCGGTGACAGAATGGAGAAAAAACCTTGGGAGAAACCAGGCTCAGTCGGGGGGCCAGTTCTCCTCTGACCAGATGAAACCAGCAGTTCAATTCCAGGCTGCAGCAAAGTCAGATTGTGCAGAGGACTCATCTGGTTCCTGTGGTCTTGTCCCGGTGGTCGTCTGAGACAAGGTCTTCACTGGGGATCTGTCTCTGGAGCTCATCTAGTTGTCCTGGTCTCCGCTGACATTCAGGGCTGTAGAGGTCATCTCTAGGTGCTGATCCACCATCTGGGCTGGATATGGACTGGATCCGGACTGGATATGGACTGGATCCGGGTGACTGCAGTGACCATCTGATCTGAAAGCCCTCGTCTCCTAGACGGCCATCGGGACAAGACCACGGGAACCAGATGAGTCCTCTGCACAATCTGACTTTGCTGCAGCCTAGAATTAAACTGCTGGTCTCGCCAGACGAGAATGAACACTTTTTCCCCGTTTAATACTATAAAGCTGCTTTGACACAATCTGCATTGTAAAAAGCGCTATATAAATAATGGTGACTTGACACACACACACAAACACATCTGTATAGCATCACCGTGACACACTCCAGCTGTTGTAGTGAACACAGACCATCATCACATCGTTAGTAACGATCAGCAGATCGTTAGCAGCAGAATCATTACTGTCCTGACGGTCACACAAACGCACATCAGTGCTGAACGCTGACCGTACAGAAGAATCAATGCAGCGCTGCACACTCAATCATGAACAGGGCAGCACAGCGATTCCCAAACTCTCAGCAAACACATTTCCCCCTCAGATTTTACGTTAATTTCAATAATATTGCAATATTACAGTTCTCTGATGTCAGATAATGTTCATATAGAATTGTAAACAAATATTTCGAATATTATAAACAAATACAAGATTTAATCACTTTTTTATTTATTTTTATTATTTATTTATTTAGCTTTTACATCTATACAATATAAGGCAAGACCCTTCAGACAAAACCAGCATGCACTGGTCAATTTTGTTTCAATAACATGTCTTATTTCAGACTAGATGAAAGAAAGGTCTTCTCTCTATCTATTTGTGTCTTTAGATTTTAATTACAATACATATCTTTAAAAGTTTTTTCTCCACTTCAGCAGCACTTACATGCACCAAAACTTAGAGGTTTATTCCTCTCTATATTCTGAAGGTTTTTACTGAGGGGTTTGTTAATATATCCTTCACACTGGTTTATACAACATTATATTCCTAAAAACATGGCGAAAATGCATATTTTTAAATGCTGTGAGTTTTTTCTCCACTTCAGCAGCACTTACATACATCAAAACTTAGAGGTTTATTCCTCTCTATATTCTGAAGGTTTTTATAAAAGGGTTTGTTTATACATGATTCATCCTGGTCTATACAATATTTTATTCCTATTACAGCAAAAATGTTTTTTTTTCTCTAGTGACAGTATTTTCTATTGATGGAGTGATAAAAAGAGAAATACAAAACCCCCAGAGTAAAAACCTTCAACTCTAAAATCAAAAGAATTTTGAACCTAGATTTATCCAATGTTCATTGCATATTTAATTTGCATATTAGCACATTTCAGAAAACATAATAAACATTTGTCTTAATTTACTGTGATCAGTCAAATGGGGAAAGTAATAATAAATAAATATTATATGATATCGATTAATATATATTACCTTATTCACCTGTAGTGACTTGCCTTCATTTAATTTAAATACAATTATTAGCTTTTCATTTCTTAGCTATGATTATTATTTATTAAACTAATAAAAACAAAACTACAAAGATATATTTAAAAAACAAAAACAATAAAAATTACAAAAATACTAAAACTTTAAATAAAATTAAAGCGATAACAGGAAATATAAAAATGAAAAACAATTCAAACTATACTAGTAAATCAGTGAGACTAAACTAGCACAGCAGCACTCACAGCGTGTTTGACGGAGTAGTTCATGATGATGTAATCGTTGCCCATCGGCAGCCAGGAGCGCAGGGTGATGACATCACGGTTCTTCAGCGGTTTAGGACACTTCCCTAAAAAGAATGAACGCTTACTAGCATTAATACAAAGTAAATTGCATATTTTGATATTTAAAGGCTAATTCTGCAGTGGCAGAACTTACAGGAGTAATAGCCCACATCTGCGTTGACTGTCAGTTTGCCGATGTCAAACGTCTCGATGACATTTGCGTCCCACTTTCGCCGATACTCGATGTCGTGGAGCACATCGTACATAGTCTCAGCTGGGATGTCCTTACACAGCATTCGACACTGAGGAGAGAGCAGAAGAACTACGTTACCCAGAATGCATCACAGGCCATAAAGCGTCAAGAAGAAACTAAAACCTAAAACCATAAAAAAATGTTATTGCTTTAAATACAATTGTATTACATTTTAAAAATTAATACAAATTCATTAATAATAAAATTAATATAAAATATAAACAAACTTAAACTTATTTCCACTAGTTGCCAAGGCAACATTTCTCATGTAGTTTGACAATGTACAAAAATAACTAAAATGAATGCAATAAATCCCAAAACCTAATAAAAATGACAAAAACATCAAATGCAATTACTAAGACTTTAACTAAAATTAAAATGAAAATGGACAATTTGAAATACAAAAAAATTAAACTTTAGTTGAATTTGAAGTTAATAATAAAACTAAAAAACAAATTAATAAAAATTACATATTTTAAAAATAAAACCACAAAATTAATAAAACTTTAAAATTAAAGTGAAAATAGAATAATAAAAATTAATAAAATCTATAAAGACATATTTTAAAAACAAAAACCGATAAAAATGACAAAAAACAACAAATACTTAAACTTTAACAAAAATTAAAGTGAAAACTAAATATAAAAATAATTTAAAATACTAACAAAAACTATAATAATTTTTCAATGATGCTAAAATAACACTGGTCAGAAGTGACAAAACAAATAAACATTTAAAATGTAAGTATCTCTCCTGGAAATGGACAATATATTGACGACATTATACTGTTCAAACATCTTGTGAAGTAGCAGATAATATGCATGACTGTGTCATAAAAAAAGCTGTAAATGAAGCTCGACACATTTTGTGATAATTCAAGCGTCCGTGACCCTAAAACAGAAACGCACGTGTGTAACTAATGACCTACATCAGGTGAAACGAGGCTGCAGTTACTCTGAATCTGAAGTGCTTTGTGAAATATGAAACCAGGCCATTAAAGCAGATCTCGTCTCAACAGCACCTGTGTTTTCTAGAGCGTCCACAAGAACGCAAGAGAGAAGCAATGAAAAACAGCTGTAGGCGCAGAAACGACACACTAAAGTCTTACAAAACCTCAGTGATAGAGAGGAAAAGCACAGATACAAAAATGATGTGAAGATTTATACAGAACAACCTCGCAGTGGTTACAAACAGGGTTATTCTCATTAACTAAAACTAATCTATTAAAACATTTTTGTTAATGTGTGTGAAATAAAGCTGAAATAAATTAAAATATAAATATTGGGATGAAAAACTTATGTTTTTACATTTTTATTTATAATAGTTGTGTAAGTTAGTTGCTTAATAAACTTGAGTTGAAGCACTAAAATCACTAAATGGATTTAAATGAAAACTAAAACTGTAAATTATACCTAGTAATAGTAAAACAAAAAAGACGACAAAAGCACATAAAATTACTAAACTTACAGTATATAAAAAACTGATTCAAAGCTAATTCAAAACATTGATAAAAACTATAATTGTATTTAAGTAATACTAAAATAACAGTGACACACAAACAGATTTTAATGATTAACCAGAGATCAAAAAGTTTTGAACATGTTTTATAAATAGAAATAACTTCATGCAACACACTGGATTGACGCGATGGAAGTTGTGAGTTTAGTTACTTAAACAGCGATTTCACCCCCTCGTTTCTTAGGAATATAAAGCAGTGTTTTAATATCTAAGCTATTTTATTAATAAAAGTCACTGGGCAGCATTGACAACAAGTTTATGTACTCCTGAATATCTCTGTGTGCGCGAAGCGCAATCTCTGATCTCTCACTTTCTTTCTCTATTTTCGATACGTGCTCCGTAGTCCCAATCTGAATAATTATCCGTGAACCATCATTTTAAATCGGTATTTCGTAGCGAGGATCACGAATCATTCAATTCTCGAAATGATTCGCAAACCCGCTCCGAGTTCCCGATCTAAATCAAATGATTCGTGATACGCGATCTGATTGGATTGTTTTGAAGCGCGAGCACACGCGCTAGTTGCCATAACAGTGAAGGTCTCAGAGCGACGTCATTATTAAAAGGTTCGGTCCGCATTATTAATGAGAAGAAGAAACTCGCTCACAAGGAAGGGGTTACACTCGAAAACATCAAGAGTGTAAAACAGATACATCCACTCACTCACACACACACACACAGAATTATACATTCTCAAATGAATTGATATGGCTATAACCATATAACCAAAATGAGTCAGAAGACTGAAATAAGAGGTTAAAATCAGATCAGACCCAGAAGGATTAAGCTCTGATAAAGCATTCCTGTTCATTTTTGTTACATTTTTATAGAATTGTAATGTTTTATGTAACAAACTGCTTTCTTTGTTCAGGTTTGAATGTAGTAATAATAATGCAAAAACCTACACTTCAAATCAACATTTAAAACAACAAAAAATATAAACCTTGACAAAAAGTAGTCTTAGATAATGCCCTAATATACATTTAAGTCCACAACCTAATAAACGTAAACTATGTATAAAAACAACTAGGCCTCTCTATCGAGTCCTATACAGGGATCTAGTGGTTACACCATGAAATTACAGGGTTTTCTTTCTTTGCTCTCACCAGGAGGTGCTAGTCGGCCTTCACAAATCGGATTTTAAAGGCCTAGTCTCTATTTTAATCTGAAATACTGCATTAATTGAAAAAAATTTTTTTTTTTTAATTTGAAAAAAAAAATCAGTACTATTTTCAATGGGAAACATTTATAATTATTGCATATATATTAATTAGTACCATAAAATTATCTCAAAATACAAAAGAAAAAAATATTATTGAACAAAAATATATTGGATTGATTTTACTGAAGAAAAAAAAAAAGTTACATTTCAGGTGTTCGGTCACTTTTGACCGCGAAGACCACGAGTGTGACTCCCAAATGAGGAGCGCACAAGGAACAGCTCAGTAAATAAGAAGTTAATACGGTTATATTTTAAACACAATATTGTCTGTTTTTGCTCAACTTTGCTAACGCAAATATTACCTAAAGCCACAGCAGAAATGCTGTACGTCTCCGAGCAACACAGCGATGTTTAGTTTCTGAATGAATCCGCGTTTTGAACGAATCGTGTGAATCAATGAGTCAAAGCCCATTCATAAAGTGTTTACTTAATTTCTGAATTAATCAGCCATTTGAATAAATCAAATGAATGAATGACTCATAAAGACATTTACTGCCATCTGCTGGCAGATTTCGTTTCTTATTTAGAGTAATTTCAGTAAAGAATAAATAAATAAAAACATTGAAGGGATTGTTCACCGCAAAATTAAAATTCTGTCATCATTTACTCACCCTCATGTCTTTTGTGGAACATAAAAGCAGGTATTTTGAAGACTATAATACATTTCATGTTGAATCAAATATTTCTTTCTAAAGCTACTATTTGTAATGTCTACTTGATACTTTTCTCATTTAACACAATATTAGCTTTAAATAATCTTTTGTGGGTATTTTCAAAGCCAAATTTAGCTTTGCGATTAATTAGATTAATATATGTGATTTCAATGATTAAATAATAGTATATTCGATTTTTAGATATTTTATATCTAAATATATTGTATTTACCATATATATATAATTTTTTTTAATGCTTTTTATTACTATACAAAATCATTTTTCTTTTGTATAGGATAAATATGATGCAATGCGATGAAGCATTGCACATGACAAATTATGAACTGTGATAAATATAATTCTACTGACTTGAATAAAAATGCGTAAAAACTGAACATTCACAAAATAAATATAAAATTCAAATTAATATTTACACATTTATAAAATATTCAGGTATATGTGCCTCTGCTCCAGTTCCCGTTTCTCTGATTGGTTTAGGATTACAGCGAGTGTAGTTCCTTTAAACGTGTTATTAAATGGTTAAACATGATTTTGAAAAATAAATGGCATCATCTACAGCAGCAAACATGATCATTAATGAGCTCAGCGCTGATGGTCATTCTGTGGTGAAAGAGGCAGAAGGACCGAAACGCTTGAGTGGGATTTCCTGAAGCTCAACTGGAGCCCAACATCACGAGTGGGAGGACAGACTGTGTGTGTGTGTGTGTGTGTGTGTGTGTGTGAGTGTGAGAGAGCGCGTGTGTGTGTGTGTGTGTGTGTGTGTATGAGTGTGAGTGTGAGAGAGAGCGTGTGTGTGTGTGTGTGAGTTCTGGTTTGTAGCACAATATTTAATGCCTGCAGTTGTGTGTTCTTTACTGACATCTATTCTTTCATAATTTAGACACACACACGATCTCCGACTGAAGTCTTTCTGTGATCAGTGTTCGTTTCACCTGCTAATGAGCCGTAAACCAGCAGTGGAAGGGATTCTAATGCAGCAAATCTGTCGCCAGCTTCATTCTGCGACACTTTCAAAGGAGTTTCTGCAGAAAACATTTGCCTGAAGCTCCTGACGATAAGCAATACTCAAACTACTGCAGCATATAATGCAAATGAAAGCGTTATCAGCCGTACTGAGTTGAGTTCCTCAACACTCGGAGTTGAGGAAAGTCTGAATGTTTCACAGATGTGATGCCCCTTTAACAAACATTACTGCAGTATCACTCACACACTGCACACATCTCAGTATAAGAGCCATATCAAACACACACACTGCACAGCACACATCTCAGTATAAGAGCCATATCAAACACACACACTGCACAGCACACATCTCAGTATAAGAGCCATATCAAACACACACACTGCACAGCACACATCTCAGTATAAGAGCCATATCAAACACACACACTGCACAGCACACATCTCAGTATAAGAGCCATATCAAACACACACACTGCACAGCACACATCTCAGTATAAGAGCCATATCAAACACACACACTGCACAGCACACATCTCAGTATAAGAGCCATATCAAACACACACACACACACACATCTCAGTATAAAAGCCATATCAAAAGGGACAGTTCACCAAAAATGATCATTTCTGGATGAACTGTTTCTTTAAGATGTGTGCTTTAAGCTTACACTGCCTACTATTTTTAATCATTTTTTTCCTCATGGCCAGATTTTATAGTTATTGATTCAGCAGATTCTTCAGCAGAAACACAAACGAGGCTCTGCGTTACAATGGTGAGGGTCAGTTTTCACTGGCAATTAAATGATTGTAAGTCACCAATGATATTAGAGACGACTGAAACTCCAAACTGGCACCGTATCTGTGATCTGAGAGACGCACGCTGGTGTTTGAATAAAGAATCTCTTCAATACATTTTTTTCGGTTTCAGCACTGATTCTTGAACTGAAAATCAGCCTGAAAGTCCCCTGCTGCTCGACCTGATTTAAACTGGAAATTTAGACGAGCTACATAATATTTATAGGTTAATACCAACTTTTGCAAAGTTCCTGGATTGAGAACTGTAATTAGATGCAGGATTGAATCAGAAAATGAAATGACACACACACACACACTCTCTCTCTCACACACACACACACACAGTCTCACACACTCACGTTTGTTTTTGTGAATTGTGGGGACTCTCCATAGGTGTAATGGTTTCTACCCCTTACAGGAAACTTTCTGCATTTTTACTTTCTCAAAAAACTCATTCTGTATGATTTATAAGCTTTTGTACCCATTGGGACCTCTCTCTCACACACACACACACTCTCTCTCTCTCTCTCTCTCTCACACACACACACACACACTCTCACACACACGCACTCTCTCACACGCACACAGTCACTCTCTCACACGCACACACTCTCTCACACGCGCACACTCACACGCACGCACACTCACACACTCTCACACACGCACACACTCTCACACAAGCACACACACACACACACACACACACACGCGGATCTGTTCTACAGCATCGTTTATCAGCTGCTTTCCTAAAGACACGCAGATCTAAGAAAAGAGCCTGCGGTGGATATTCCGGCATTCACCTTCACGTCTCCGTCAAACAGAAGCGATGAATCCTGTGAAATGAGCGTGGGTTTGGCTGCTCTGCAAACAGAGAATCATTCCGCCTGATTTCCCCTCTCCTGCTTTACTTCTGCTCGCATAACTTCGCTTCTTTGTTTGATCGATTTCCTCCTATTTTGTGATTTAGTGAACAAAGGGCCAGTGTGTGTGAAGCACAGGTGAGCGGCGTGAGAATCCAACACCTGAACAAGCAGGTTTTGAACTTCCTGCATAACCTTGAGCAAACAGAGACACCAAAGGTCCGGTACTGACAGAAAACTAGGTGAAACACACCTATGTTCTTGAGTCTGTGAACCCGAGCTGAACTCAGTCCAGTCTGGCTGTGTTTGATAAACGGATCTTGGCACGTTTGTCAGACTCTCGGTGAATCTCACGCTTTAGTGGTTTCTCGCCGGTCTGAGAAGATAAACACACGCGTGGAGATCCTGCTGGGTTTCGGTTACAGAGCAAACACACCCGTACATGTGCGTCAACACCTGCTGGATAAACCTGCTCGCCCGTCACACACCCGGATGTGCCGCTAAACACACACTCACGCTCCTGACCGACCAGAGCTTCAGTTTAACCTGTAAGTGACCAAAACGGACATTTATCCAGTCAAAGCTCTTTTAGTGTAATTGTAGAGACGTCCAGCTTCAGCTTCTCGTGTATTTCTGCCGTCAAATCCTGACTGATGTTGATCAAGTAAACACCAGAATCAGACCAGTGTTAAATTAGTATCACTGAAATGCTACTATAATATTATTAGTTATATATATATATATGTGTGTGTGTTCTATTTTCATTTCAACGTTTTAGTAATTTCCCTGTGTTTTAAACATTTTTATTAGTTCTTTTTTAAGTCGATACAATTTTTATTATTTTATTTTATTATACTCAATGAAATATTTTTAAATAGTTTTTTTAATATTTAAATTTTATTTCAGTGAAGGTTTATTTTATTCCAAGCAATGAAAATGGTTTTAGTTTTTTTGCAAACTATAGTCCTGAAAGCTACTGATATTTACATCAGCTACACTTTTATAAAGATCCCACTGACTTACATTACAACTCATTATTAAAAATAAAGCTTCGTTATTGGCATCAATGGTTCTGTGAAGAACCTTGAACCTCCACGGAAGCCTTCAAATGCAGAAAAGGTTCTTTAGATTTTTTAAATGTTCTTCAAATTGGTTCTTTCAGGAACTGTTCACTGCAAAAACACCCTTTATTTTTAAGAGTGCATCAGACTACACCAGCCATAAAAGCTTGCTGGATCAAATACGTGACCCTGGACCATGCACAAAACCTTCAAACATTTTTGAAATTGAGATTTATACATCATCAATCATCTTTCCATTGGTGTGTGGTTTGTTAGGATAGGACAATATTTGAAAATCTGGAATCTGAGGGTGCAAAGAAATCTAAATATTGAGAAACTCGCCTTTAAAGTTATCCAAATGAAGTCTTTAGCAATGCACAATACTAATCAGAAATTAAGTTTCGATACATTTACGATTCAAAACATCTTCATGGAACACGATCTTCAAGCATAAAAGAAAAATGCAACATTTTGACTCATACAATGTATCGTTGGCTGTTGCTACAAATCTCCCAGGGTGCTCCAGGGTCACACGATATGATTTCTTTAGGTGTAATATACGGCTGATGATCTGCAGTGGGCTGTAGACCAGCAGCGCTCACCTTGATCCGGTGCAAGCTCCTCTCCTCCTGCAGCACCTGGATCCAGACGCAGATGCTGCTCTTGTTGTAGGTGAGACTCCAGTCTTCCTCGGACTCACACTCGTGTTTAAACCGGCTAAAAGCGCGGTCATCCGGGATCAGGACCTCTTCCTCGGACATCATCCTCCTCCTCCTCCTCCTCCTCTGAGACCGGATCGCGTCGCGAGTAGCGCGAGACAGAGACGCGCGTCAAACGCACCGGCGGCTGCTCTCTCTGATCCGGAACAGCGCGTGCGCTTCCGCGGGTTTAAAGATCCAGAAGCGTGCGAATAACCTGACGTGCGTGCGTGCGAGAGGAATAAACAGCTGTTACATCCCGCTGCGCTCGTGCGTGTGTGCGCGTGCGTGTGCCACAGGCTAGCGGGAGCGCGCATGCGTGACTGACCGCCCACCCTCGTGCACGCGCACGGCGCTGACGTCATAGCCATCGCCTCGATCGATTACTCTTCATTATTGAGGCATGCAAGTCATGCATGAAGCTCAGTGTCATATCATCTGTTGTAGATATAGAGAGACGAATGATAATCGATAAGTGAAAAAAGTCACAGATTAATGAATGATCAACAGATTGAGACTGCTGATGCTACTATTAATGATACTACTAATATTTTATTAAATAAAAACAATCAAAGGTTCGCTTTGGATAAAAGCGTCTGCTAAATGACTAAATAAATCAGTTTTAGTCAATTTAATACAAGCATAATCAATAATTTCAATCATTTATTTATTAAATGTTAATTTTATCAAATGTATTTAACGGTGAATATAATAATAATATAAATATTAATTAAATGTATTTCATAGAACATTTAATACATCAATAATACATCAATAATTAAGATAAATATTAATTAATTAATTAAATGTATTGAATAGTAAATTTAATACAAACATAATCAATAATTTCAATAATTTATTTATTAAATGTTCATTTTATTAAATGTATGTAACCGTGAATGTAATAATAATAATAATAATAATATAAACATTAATTAAATGTATTTCATAGAACATTTAATTAATAAATAATACATCAATAATTAAGATAAATATGTATTTATTTAATAAATTTAACAGTCAATGTCATACATAAAAAATGTATTAATAATAAATAAATATTGTAATGAATTGTAATAAGAAATATTTGTAAATATTATGTAATACAGTCAATAAATATAATTGCAATAAATATTTAAATATATACATTTTTCACATTACGCAAATTAAATGAATGAAGTTTACAAATGTGAAATAATAATTATTTTTATTTTTTTTAAAGATAATTTAATTTGAGAGAAGCTGAGTGGCGACAGCATCACTAAACACCAGCGGATTCTAACACACTGAGCAAGCATCGTGGTTTAAAGTGTTTCAGTGCCACTGTGCCAGTATATGCTGTAATAATCAGTAACATCTCTAAAACATGCACCTCAGCTGACGACAAACACACATGTGCTCTACATGTGCTCTACATGCACCTCAGCTGACGACAAACACACATGTGCTCTACATGTGCTCTACATGTGCTCTACATGTGCTCTATATGTGCTCTATATGTGCTCTATATGTGCTCTATATGTGCTCTACATGTGCTCTACATGTGCTCTACATGTGCTCTACATGCACGTCTTATTCTCACCTCTGCCAGCCATGCACAACCTCCACTAATGCACTGCGGACTCTCATGTAAAGTCAACAGATCTTATAAGAGCAGCACTTAAACACTGCAGACAGCATTGCAATCACATGATGCGAGAAGCTAACCTGACACTGTGCAGCTTATATATGCAATGTTACAGACACATTAGAGCTGCATGTCACTTCTATAACCTTGCTTGAATGTGAGTGAATTATAGAGTTTAGGGTTAACCCTTTGCACTGTATGTATTGGGCATAGCATTCAAGTCTAATATTCATATTTGCATTAATATTCTGCTTTGGTTCATCTGCTGGCTGATGACAGAGAGAGATGTTTTGTGAGTTTAGGCGCCACCTGCAGGTCACAAGCGGCATGTGCTCATGATACATAATAATATATGGGCCTAATATTAATAATAATAATATAATAATACAATATTATTATCAAACTCTAAGCTGAAGCAGAGAAATGGATCTTTAGTCTCTCATCTTGATCCAGTTGGATAAAAATTAAAAACTGTGGTTAATTTGCACACTTTTTTATATTGTTCTGTACATATGCATGTCCAAAAAATGTATTACCCTTAAAAGTTATTAATAAGTAATATATATATATTTTTTACATTATTGTGAATGTCCAAAATTGTAAAATTTCCATTTTATTTAAAAATAAAATAAAATAACTAGATTGATAAATTAATTAATAAATAAATAAAAATATAACCCTAAACCTAACCACTTTTATAATGTTACAAAAAAAATCACATCAACATTAAAAATTACATTTTCTATGAGTCCGATATAATTAATTAATGGTTTAAATATAATATATTAATATGAAACCTTGAGCTGAGGCAGAAATATCGATCTATTATCAATAAAATATAATATAATATTAAATATATATATACAAATATATATTAGGCCGAATAGGCCTGATGTTAATCAAATACAACAACAACAAAAATAAAATAAAATAAAAACAAATAAAACAAACCTTTCTGCGTGTCTGCGCGTGACGTCATTGAACTACACTTCCCAGGATTCCGCGCGCATCACGGATGTTTTTCGTTTACCGGACGCACGTTTCTGCTCTCGAGCTCGGACTCACCTGCTGACGTTACAACCGTTAACCGGCTGTCGGCGAGATCACAGGAACGCGAGCTCTGCACACGCCGCCGTCTCTGCTCACGGAACCCGCTGTTGTTACGCTCGCGATGTTCCTGTCGTCGGTACCGGCGCGCGTCCTGATGCGAAGGTCGCGCAGTCTGTCGCCGCGCCGCGCGCTGCACACCGGCCACGGTGAGGCCTCGCGCTTCCGAAACCTGTGCGAGCTCGAACCGAACCGGAGCCCGGTGGCCAGCGGATCGCGCGCGTCCAGGAGGAGCGTCGCGAGCGAGGAGTCGCGCGTGCAGTACCATCAGCTGGCCAGCAGGTGGCGCGTGAGTCTGGAGCACCGGCGGAGCAGCTGGGCGAGTCTGACCGCCGCGGGGCGCTGCAGAGGCGGACACCAGAGCCGCTCAGAGTCCGCTGCTGGAGCCGCTGGAGCCGCGGGCGTCGCGGGCGTCGCGGGCGTCATCTCCGCCGCGGCGCTCGCCTTCTGCTTGAAGAAAGACAGCGACGATAAAGGTCCTAAACACTCCACAAACGGACAGAGTTATAATAATAAAATTCACATTTATTCAGATTTACACAGAATCTGAGGGTGCAAAAAAAAAAAAAATCAAAATATTGAGAAAATCATCTTTAAAGTTGTTCAAATGAAGTTTTTAGCAATGCATATTACTAATCAAACATTAAGTTTTGATATATTTACGGTAGGACATTTACTAAATATCTTCAAGAAACATTTACTTAATATCCTAATGATTTTTGGCATAAAAGAGAAATGTATAATTGTGACACATACAATGTATTGTTGGCTATTGCTACAAATATCCCCCAGCGACTTAACACTGCTTTTGTGCTGCAGAGACACATATGGCTAAAATATGGCGCATTTACATACAAATACATTTTGTCCCTAATTTGATAACAGGTTTCCGGTTAAATGCGATTATTATTGCATAATTTTGAATGTGATTGTTTATGTAAAACTTTATTTTGATAGTCCACTTTAGACATACTCTGTGTCAACTTATTCTACTAAACCTAACCTAACCTAACAGCCTACTCTGAGAGTTAGCAGACATGTAGTTGTAAATTAATGAGAGTTAGTAGACATGTAGTTGCTTATAGTTAGTAGACTGTCAAAAGGGGACTATCAAAATAAAGTGTAACCGATTTTTATGTTAAATGTTAATTATTGTTTGATTAAATTTGAGCAATTCATAACGAAGCAAACTGATGAAGCAAACAAAGATAATGTGGCTATAACTGCATGGATAATATCCGCGTCAAATTATTTTTTATTGTTATTTGGGGGGGGGGTCGTGGGTGCATCACATTTAACTCTCAGATAAAATAATTTCTGGAGATTTCTGGTGTGTAATAACAGTGACTGACAGCAAACAGATGCACGTGATGAAAACACGGCGGATAAACGAACAAAATTAACGCGACATTAATTAAAATTTCATCTGAACTCACGTTTATTTTATTTTATTCAGCGTCTAAAGTCTACACGTGGCCCCCTGATCAACTCGAAGGGGTTTCGCGTGCGGTCTTAAATAAAGGCCATTATTCCTGCAATCAAATTAAACTTCATCTCACACTACCAACCAGAGCCGCATTAAAGCTGAAACAATCCCACAATTCATTTAGCGCGAGCTAGAATGCGTCCGCTCTTGAAAACTCGCCCATTCTCGCCCTAATGGCATTAGTCCTAATAGCCATTAATAGTCATTTATTTAAAATGATATCTGCGCACGCTGAACGGAATACACTCTTAAAAATAAAGCTGCTTCACAGTGATGCCATAGAAGAACCTTTTTGTCTAAATGGTTCCATGTGTGTGTGTGTGTGTGTGTGTGTGTGTGTGTGTGTGTGTGTGTGTGTGTGTGTGAGAGAGAGAACCCAGAATTCCATGGCAGAGCTTGTGTGTCAGAGGCCCACAAAACCTTTAATTTAATTTAATTAAAGCTCACTTAACAAACACACACAGACGGAGAAGAGACAGAAGGAGAAAGAGGGAGGAGGTCGCCAAATCCAATTTCTGGAGTCAGTGTCACCCCTCATTTGAAACGGGACTCATTTCACTGTATAAACACACACGCACGCACTCACACACACACTCACAAACACACACACTCGCACGCACGCACTCACTCACTCACACATTCACAAACACACACACACACACTCGCACACACACACTCGCACACACTCACTCACACACACACGCACTCACTCACTCACACATTCACAAACACACACACACACACTCGCACACACACACTCACACTCACTCACTCACTCACACACACACACTCACACACACACACACACACACACACTCACAAACACACACACTCGCACGCACGCACTCACTCACTCACACACACACACTCACACACACACACACACACACACACTCACAAACACACACACTCGCACGCACGCACTCACTCACTCACACACACACACTCACACACACACACACACACACACACTCACAAACACACACACTCGCACGCACGCACTCACTCACTCACACACACACACACACTCTCACACACACACACACACTCACACACTCACTCACTCACTCACAAACACACACA